TGGGTGCGTCCATATGGCGAATGACACGATGCCATCGCTATCAGCGGTACCGCGGTCGGGGACGAAGTCCAACACGAAGACGCCGGACTTCAGTAGAGCGCGACCGATGAAGAGACCGCCCTTCCCGTGGTATAGGCGAAATTCGTTGGAGTCCGAGTCGCACTCCAGGTGAATTCCTTTTGCCATTAACTGGCTGACGCTTAGTAAGTTGTATCCCAAGTTGTTGACGATGAGGACCTTGTTGAGTTGCAGTATAACGTTTGTCTCCATGGATTGTAACTGAACCACGCCTTATCTGTTTGTCTTCAGGTTCTCGTTGTTGGCGACGGTGATGATGACGTCTCGGTTGAGACGTCGTTCTCGTTGCACGAAACGCCCGGAAGAGCACATGTGTTGGCCGCAACAGCTGTCCAAGAACCAAGTATTGCGTCCGGTGGGTTCGGAGTTGGCGACTGCAGCGTACGTTGGGTTGACCTGAAGTCCCTGTGAGCGCGACGGCGACAGTTCTTCTTCATCGGGAGCGTAAGTTGGCGGTGATCCGGGTGCGCAGTTGTCGATGTGGACCATGCAGTTGATGATATTTGGCGTATTTTGTGCAGATGTGGAAGAGCGCCTTGGCGGACTTTCTTGAGTGGAAGCGACTTGTGGGTCTACTGGACGATAAGCTCGGGGGCGTGTGCAGTTGAATTTGGAGTGTCCGGATGTTTGGCAGTTGTGGCAGAACGACGGTACAATGGTGAGTCCTCTGTTGTCGCGTTGATCTTGCCTGCCGCGTCGGTTGTAGTTGTTGTCGTGTCTTCGTTGAGTGTAGAAGACTAATGGTTGTTGTTTCCTTGGTTGTCTTTCTTCAAACAGGTCCATCTCCTTTTGTTCAGCATGGAGCTCGGCGCAGAGGTGCATCTCCGAGATTCGTCCGTGGGCGCGAAGGAGCGAGCGGGTGGTTCGCCATTCTGGCCCGAGCCCAGCGAGGACAAGCGTCACGAAGCTTTCTTCAGTGATTGTTCCTCCGCACCGAAGCAGGCGGTCGCGGAGTGTCTGGCATCAACTCATATACTGCATCGCTTTTTCTCCGGTCTTCATCTGTATTGTTGTCAGCTGCTGCATGAGTCTGCTTTGTGTCACGCTGTCATTTGCTTGATAGAGGCACTTGAGGTGATGCCATGCGAGTTCCGCGGAGTTTCCGTAGCTCCTATACGTTCTGATGCTTTGCTGTTCTTGTGGTGACAGGTTCCGTAGGAGAACTGTGTACGCCAGCAGCGACTGATACGTGAAGATTTCTTGTTCTTTTGCAGTACCGTTGCTTGGGAATGGCAGGGACCCTGTTATAATCACAATAGGCTTAGATGTGCCTATAATGAGAGATAGAGAGCACACTCGGATTTCCGTCAGACGGCTTCAAATATTGATAGCGATCTGGTCCCTGTATCAAACTGTGATTTGTAAATTGGACCTGAAGTGCGTTGCTGTCGTCTATCAGCAGCAAGTTGAATCATGAAATTCCATGACGATTTGACGACGCTATGGCGGTTTGACTGGCAGGAGGTATAGTAGCCACTATAGTCTTAGGAGTACAAAATTAGCAAGAAGAGTTCGAGATGGAGATGGTTCCCAGCCTCTACATACCCCAAGAGCCGAGGTCCAGGTTGGTGGTACACCACCACAGAGTCCCCAACCATGAAGAGTCTCGAAACCAACCCTCCAAGGGGCTACACCAAGTGAAATGTAACACTACACGAAGTAGCGTTACTATGTTCACTATTTAATATTTATCCGTGTCCCTTGGGCTTGAAATCTTGAGCTCTTGGTCTTGGTTCTGCAAGATAAATTCTTCTTGAGTTGATGGGGGCTTGCTGCACACACCTGCGATGCGATGGACACTTCACACTCGACAAAATAGAAAAAACACATGCGACACGCAAACGACGACTTGACATGCGAGTTGTAAAAACTCGCTAATGTCTTGACCGACACAAACCACATTGTGATACACCATCCAAACTCACACACAAGCACTAGATAGCAATGACATAGACTCACAAATCATTCCATGCCATGCATGCACACACACAAACAAGGACGACAAGCCGAGTGCAAACCATAGGGTTGCACCAACAGACCCGTTGAAGTATCCCAAGAGATGCGCAGCCTCCATCAGCAGCTCGAACTCAAAACTCCAGGTAAAGAAATCGTGTCCTTTGAATGGTGAGGATGTATGCAGTTTAATCACGTGTGAAAACTGCGCCTGGAGACTTAAAATCTCGTTTGGTGTCTGTTGTGATGCAGCTGCTGTTGGTTGGGCACGGGGCGGCATGAACTCGAACGTCCCCAGTGAAGAGTGATAAGGCGCAAAGGTAGGCGCTTGATTGTGTCGCCCGAACGATGAGTTGTCGAGACTCATCGGCGCTAATCCCATGTTTCCTCCGTTGCTTTGTGTTGAATGCGCAGGTGTCCTTGTCTGCTGCTGCTGGTCAAAGTGTGACATGAAGCTGAAGAACCTTTCCATAAGGTTCGGGTCCACGCTTGAAGAGGGTGATGGGGTCACCATTTCTGGTGTTCTTCCTGTTGTTTCTTGAGCAGCGCCGGTCTCGGTTTGCTGTCCTGAAGTGTGCAGTCCAGAGTTGCCGGGTTGAGTGTCTTGGGCACTGGGTGAGCCCGTAGAGGTTTTCTTGCCCTTGCTGTCCATGACTTGTAATCAATGAAGTCGTTGGTGTGCTGATTGCAGATAGAGCGTAGTTGCTGGGAGTTTGGTCTCTAACCAGCTCTCATACCATGTTGGGCTGAGAAAATGCCCTTAGAATCTTTCCAGAGACTAAGTCCCAGTTGTAAAAGACTTGAGTAGTGCAGCGGAAGTTGAGGTAGTTGAACCCTTGTACTAGTATATGAGAACAAGTGATTGATTAAAGTGAACAAGCATACAGCAATATATAGAAAGTAGAAAACAAGCAGTTGTAGAATACAGTTGAATGGCGGTTATTGAGTCGCACAGCGACTCGATTGTCGCTTCGGTTACCATTCTTGCAGTTGTAACGGTCACTCGCAACCTCCGGTTGCGACCCTTCGAGTTCTTTCGTGTTCTTTGTCCATCCCCTCGTATAACCTCCGTTGACTCACGTACTCGTTACGATCTTCCTCGAGTGTGGTGTTACACTTCAGAAACGCTTAAGTCCTTGAGATATTTCCAACAACACCAAAAGCTCAAGGTCATGGCTTGGAGCTATGAAGTTCATTGCAGACCACTAGTCACTAGGCGATTCTTAGTTTCCATCTACCCTCTGTTATGCAATAACATGGATGCAGACCTTGGATGTTCAGATTCATCATTTCACCTGATAATTATGCATGCACAGGACGGTGGCATGCTGTTGTTGCAATCTTTGGCACAACTGGCTATATTCGCTCCATGTTTTCTGCTCACTTTCCGCTTGAAAAATGACCGGACACCACACCACAAGTGTTTCAGAACTTAGAAATTGAAGTACTAAGTTTCAGCAGAACCTGTTGGCAAAGCACCATGAAAAAAAGGAACTTACAAGTTCAAGAATCACACTCGTATTGAGGAAAACGCGTTACAACCGTTTACCGGCAGTGGGTCTGTTAGCGGGAACAGGGGATGCGACTGCCTCGAGCTTGTCCGGGGGGAAAATTGCTGCCGCGGACTGTCCACGAAACTTTTCATACTTTCGTGGACAGGCCCTACTTTCATGGACACCACATCGAACTTTCACATCTCCCGTGGACTCCGTCAATACTTTCGTGGACTCCAGGCTTACTTCCATGGACACACGCGAGTTTGAAACAAAAAAAACATACAGAACTGTACAGATGCTGACAGGAGAAAAAAAGCAGAATTAGGCGTAATCAAGTCCCTCGCAAATAGTCGCAAGCTACAGTATTTTCAAGCCACCAAGTCCGCTAGCTGTTTCGCGTGTTTATAGAAACTCTGAAGCGATCCTCAAAATTCATTTGAATGACTGTCACGAAGCGCTTTTCGTTGAACGATAAGTGTAGCAGACCGACCTGGTGAAATATCGCTACAAAAAAATCACGTTGTAGAATAAAGATAGATATTACGCTTACAAGATTAATAGAGCTCATTAAAAATCTCTGCCTACCAAGAATCAGGAATACCATGAATTCTGGCATTTACAAATATTTCAACTAGTACTTGGCTTGCATTTTCAACTAAGATGTGAAATCTCAGAATACCAATAACGTTTGGTGAACATGACTATATAAATGGAAGGTTTCACGTCTTGATTGTATTATTATTAAAATTTCGGTACATAGTAAAATAATAATAGATGAGAAAATGATTTAACTATTTTACATTCACGTTTTTGGGAATATTTTTTTTTATGTTTGAACGAGAAACATACTAATGCAAATAAAAACAAGTGATTCTAAAAAATATATTTCTTAGGTGTTTTTTTTCACAGAATTACTAATAATGAAATTATTTATTATGAAGGAGAAAACAACTGCTGGTTGATGCTGGCTCGTCAAGCACGTGCATATTATGTTTTGTTGGGTAGCTCTGAGTTGAATAATAAGTGTTTTTACCACGCGGACCCTAATACACCCTGTTTTTGAAAATTCACTGCATATTTGAGTGCGGCTGCAAACTCTTCCCAGAAAAGCTCCGAGATTCTGTTTCAGAACTGGTTTCCGACACTGTAGCTCGCGATTACTTGCGACGGACAGATATTCTGGAGTATCTCGATTTTTGTGCCCGTAATCACTTGTACATTGCTGAATACTCCTTTTTAACTGCGAATATGGGTGTGTCCATGGAAGTAAGCCGGGAGTCCACGAAAGTATTGACGGAGTCCACAGGAGAAGCAAAACTTCGATGTGGTGTCCATGAAAGTAGGGCTTGTCCACGAAAGTATGAAAAGTTTCGTGGACAGTCCGCGGCAGAAATTTTCCCTTGTCCGGGCCTCATCAGCTCCCTCCGTCGCTCACCCCACGAGTCTGTCAGCAAGGCATGGTAGTGAGTGACCGCTCCACGATAACCTTGGGACTAGCCTGCAACGGTTCTCATGACATATCTTCTCGGGCTCACCATTTTAGCTCCCTGAGCTTCAAAGCTCTAGCGTGTATCAAGTGATCCGTTATAGTCGCGCGACTCGGCCCTTCATGTAGCGGAGTCCCTCGGGAGCGATCTTTGCTAGTCGTGACGATGGATTCCGGCGGGAGGCGATGACGACGTCAGCGAACAGTTTTCGCCGAACAGGCGAAGGCGGCGAGCCTGCAACAGCGAGCGACGCATCAAGCTATTTGCGAGGATTCGCGAATCGAAGGGATTCTTAGGAACCAGGCGGCATGGTGGGAATGGTGAGGAGGGATGAGCGAGGCGGGTGGGAGCCTGAGGAAAGGTTGAGAACTAGAGCCGGAGGCCGGGGGGGTTGACGGAGAGAGGTGCTTGTAAGCCATGCTGTCTCGCACTGGTAACGCCATTGGGTCCCAAGGCTGACGAATCGTTCCTCACCCCCCGCCGTGTCCAGGACTTGCAGTGGCAGAGCCCGGCTCGCTTGCTGCACGCTGGCATGGCCGCGGACGGCGACAGGGCGGAGACGCGAGACACGAAGGCACGGCCCGACGAGAGGGCGTTGAGCAAGGCGGACGGGAGAAGTGCCTCCCGGCGCAGCAGGAGCGGCCGCCACGCGGGCGACGACCCCATGGACGCTCGTGCCGGCGGTGACGGCCTCGAGGGCGGTGAGGGTGCTGCTGCTGCGGTGGCAGCAACAGCAGCAGCAGCAGCAGAGTGTAGTGAAGCGACAGCAGCAGAGAGCGAGAGCGAGGGTCGCCGCCCGTCGTCGTCCATCCACCCCCCTCGCCGCTCCGCCTCCCGCGCTAGCAGGGCCGGCGGCGGCAGCCGGCCCGTCGCTCCCCTGGCGCTGAGCGTGCGCGACGACCGCGGATGGACGCTGCTGCACATCGCCAGCCACATGGGGAACATCCGCATGGTGCGTGGCTGGGTGGTCACGCAGTAACCGGGTGAGAAACGAATTGTTGACAAGTCATCGCACGGTTTGACAACCAAGAGATCCAGGGGCTCCTCTGCGCCACCACTCTACCCTTTCCCCCTTCCCCCCTTCCCCCCTCCTCCCCTCCTCCCCTCCACCCTCTCCCCCATCTCTCAGGTGCACCATTCCCTGCACGAGGGCATTTTGGGAGTGGGCGAGTCCCCCAGCAGCCGGGGCCTCATACCCCGCTTCCTTTCCTTCCCCTACCTCGCCTCCCACTCGCCCACCCCCACGTGCGCCAATAATGGAGGAGGGCGGCGTGGGCGTGAACGAGCCCTCTCTGGGCCCCAAGCAGCACCCCGCACCTCAATTCCCCCTTCACGCTCTCCCTTCCGCCCCCTCCCCCCTCCACCTTCTCCCTTTTCTCCCCTTTCTCGCCCTCACCTAACCAACCACCCCCAGGTGCGTCAGTTGCTGCAGGAAGGCGACGTGGGCGTGGCCAATTCCGCGGTGGGCCCCAAGCACCAGGTACCTCAATCCCCCCTTTTTTTCGTCTCTCCCTTCTCTCTTCTACCCCCTTCCCTTGGCCTCCCAACCCCCCACCTGCAGGTGCGGCAGCTGCTGGAGGGGGGCGATCTGGGTTGGTTGGACGAGCCCTCTGCGGGCTTCAATCACCTGGGGCCTCGATTCCGTCGTCACCCTTCTCGTGCTTCGCCTTCCTGCTATCCCTTTTCCCCCTGAACCACTCGCCCACCCGCAGGTGCGGCAGCTGCTGGAGGAGGGCGATGTGGGCGTGGACGAGCCGTCGCTGGGCCCCAAGCACCCGGGCGCCACGGCGCTGCACCTGGCGGCGGCGGCGGGGCACGTGGCGGTGATGGACACGCTGCTGGAGGGCGGCGCCAACATCGAGGCCCGCACCCGCGGCAACTTCGGCTGTGAGCCCCTGCTGCTGCTGCTGCTGCTGCTGCTGCTTCATGTCGTTGTGCTGTGGCGGCAGCATTCTTCTTCAAGCACATCAGACCTGCACTGTCACTCATCCTCCTCAACTTCCTCCCATCTCTTCTTCCCTCTGTCCTCCTTTCCCCACCCTTCCCGTCCTTCTTCCCCCTTCCTTCTCTCATTCCTCCTCCTATTCCCCTCCCCCCTCCCACTCACCCCTCCCCCACCCCAGGGACCCCTCTGCACCACGCGGCGCGGCACAACCGGCGGCGCGCCATGCGCTTTCTGGTGGAGAGCGGCGCCTTCCTGGCGCCCGACATGCTGGACGCGCGCTTCAACCCGCCGCTGCACTACTGCCGCGCGCTGCAGTACGCGTACCAGTACCAGGGCACGCTGGGGGGGAATGGGGGCGGGGGCAGTGGGGAGAGCAGCGGGGAGGGCAGCGAGGGGGGCAGCAGCAGCAGTGTGGGGGGAGGGGCGGATGGAAGGGTGGTGGGAGAAGGTGGGGGGGAGAGGGAGGAGGAGGCAGTGGGGGGTTGAAACCTGAGAGGGGACATGCATGCAGATGGGGAGATGTTTGCCTCGGACCCGCTTAACCCCCACAACACAACACACCCCTTTCCGGCGCATGTAATGAGTATGGTCAAGATGGCAGAGGGGCAGAGCAGACTGTCATGCCATGTACTGCATGTGACCGAGTGGAGGTGAAGTAAGTTTGTTACCATGCTCTTGCGAGACCATCACAATGCATGGTCTGGGCGATCAGCCAACGATCGCTCGTATCACGGGACTTTAGTCCAGATGATTATAGCTGGTCGTACTCACCAGTATGTGAGGGTAGCTGGTATGTGATGGAAAAGTAGCTTACCTTTCAAATGTTGGCAAAGACATATTAATAACAATCAATTCTATCCACCTCTTATTCCCCAAGGATGCTCTTGCAGATATATTGCGTACATTTTTGGCTGAGAGGCGAATCTGATTTATGATTTCAAAACCAGGTCAGATTGCCAGTGGGCGACGGAAAACCTTGGGAGCATGCGAGATGCAATCAAATGGACACGTGATTTCCTGCATCGCTGGGCGGAGTTTGGCGCACAGCACACAGCACAAGGAGGCGGTGCGTCGTCAGCATTCATGCGCTGTCGGCCAGACTGCACTTTTCCATCGGCAGCCGCCAATGAAAAGTGATCTGCCCCCAGCCCGGATGGCATGTCCGTGTGTTTGGTGGGCCCGAAGGAGCGGTCTGCCCGGGCCCGGGATGTCCCTGTGTGGGCCCAAAGGCCGCTTGACAACGCAGAGGCTGGGGCGGTCTGGCGGCGAAAGAGTCATCGCATCACGCGGAGAGTGGCGGTGGATGTGGGGGGCAACGGGAGTCTGCTCTGCAACGCAGAAGGGGAAGGCCAGGGGAGCGGAGCGGAGGGAAGCGGAAGGACCCAATCCGATCTGTTGCGATCAATCCATCCGCCTGAAGCTTTCTTTCTGGCTTTGGGGGCAAGCAGGAGGCAGGGTGTGATCGCCAGAAAGTGCCAATGAATAGGAGAGCTTTGCTCGCCTGCAAGAACGCCATTGTTCTCTTCTGACTCGTGAGTGCACAGTACTCCCTGGTAGGTTAGGTGGAGCGAGAGCAGAGTTGCCAGCGTAGCAGAGAGCACGGTGGAGAATGGAAAGCTTGGTCCATGGCGGTTGGTTTCCGAGATGCGATAGTAGAAGCCGTTATTCTCGTTAGACTGCGTCAGCTCCAGCGAAGAGATAAGGCCTCCCCGCCATGCCCCCACTCCCAGACCAGCCTGGCAGAGCACCGTCTCCCGTGCGTCGGTCCAGCTGTCACGCGTCTTGCGGATTTCGCTCGTATCACTTCGACGCGGTGCAATCGGGCCGGTGTACCTCCCGCCATCACCCGTGCTCGGCCGCTGTGTCGGAAGTCATATCGCGTTGATTTCGCTCGTATCTGAAAAGAGACCGCTCTGAGTCGCCCAGGCCAGACACAACCATCGAATGAGAGGAATGCCCTGTCCTGTCGAGTCGAGCGAGGAAAGATTGAACCTCGCTTCTATCTAGCGTTTCGCGGTCGACAATTGCCACATTTTTTGCGTGTGCGTGCGCCATGCTAACATTCCACGCCTAGGAATGACCTAGCCGAGCTCGTTAGGGAGGATTCATCATAGACCGCGTCGCGCGCGCTTCGTACTATTTATCGCCTCATGGCGTTTCCACCGCGGGTTTTGCCCTCCGCGTGGAGCGGGCCTCTATGCCCCGTGTGGTCGCTCATGGGCGTGCCTCTCGCGCTGCTCGCCGCGGCGCTCAACCCCCACCTCTGGTCGCTCGCCCTCTCCGCCGCCTCGTCGCCGCACGCGGGGGTGTCGCTGCTGCCGCTCCTGTTTTTCGCGCACGCCGTGGCGCTGCTGCTCAACTACGCGGCTGCGCACATCGTCGACGTCACCGGCGCCACCGTCCCCCAGGTTCGCATGTTCGCTCTCCCGTGCTCGCGACTTCGCTGTCTGCTGCGCAGGATTTCGCATCTCCGCCGCTCACGAATTCCGCACCATCTTTCCTCGTATGGGCTATTGTGACCCACACATTCTCGTCCTCCCCCGCAGCTCCCCTCCGCGTTCCCCCTTTTTCCCTCTGAATCTTTCCCTCTCCGCCTCGGCCTCCCCTCACCTCTCCGCCTCCCCGCATCTCCCCCTTGCTCTCCGCCTCGCCGCAGGTGTGGCTGCACGAGTTCCCGCGCCCCCTGCGCCGCCTGCTGCCGCTGTTCTGCACGGCCTCCATCCTCGCGCTGGACGTCGCCGCGCTCTGGGCGTCCGCCACGGCGCTGCAGCTGCTGGCGGGCCTCGCGCTCAAGCCCGCGCTGCTGCTCTCCGCGCTCTCCGGCCTCGCCCCCATCGCCGTTCCTCCCCGCAAGGTGCGCCGCCCCCTCCCCGCTGTGCGATTCCGCTACGAGGTTTCCCCGTCCCCCGTCACCCCTTCTTTTAGTGCCACTGCACGGGCAATCGGCCTATCGTCGGTGTCGCACACCCCGCGCCCTCTGCGGCGAGCTGGAAGCACAGACTCCACCTTTCCGATGGGCACGGACCCGTCCGCTGGCCTCCCTGTGTTCCGCTGTGCCCCATATTCCACCGCGTTTCCTTCCCATCCCACCCGCTTCCCCCTCCGTGTGCACCTGCCCCCACCCACCCACCCCCTCTTCGAACCCTCCTCTCCCCGCCCATCCCCCGCAGGGCCAGCAGCTGGTTTCGCTGTGCGTGAGCCTGCTGCTGCTGCTGCTGCTCTCCTGCGCCCTCCACTGCCTCTCCGCCCTCCGCGCCCTCGCCTCCTCCCCGTCCATCGAGCCTCTCCTCCCCCTCCTCGCCCCCGCCGCCCCCCGCCCCACCTCGGAGTATGTGTGTCTCGCCTCGGCGCTGCTGGGCTGCTGCTTGCTGCCGCACACCTTCCTCCTGCTCGCCTGGCAGGTATGCCCCCCCTCCCTCCTCTTGGTCGCTCCTCATCCGTTCTTGGGTCTGCTCGCGTGGCTGCTTTGTACGGTCAGGACCCCCCCCTGCTGCTACCTTGCTCCATCTCTGTTTTCCCTTGGTCGGCCTCGCGCTCCTCACTCGGTTTGGGGGCTCATTTGTGCTGCCCGCGCCACCGCTGCGTGCAGGAGAAGGTAGTGTCGGAGGAAGGCACGCCAGAGGAGCAGGAGGAGCACGCCAGACGCGTGGGGGGCCGGAGGTGGCGGCGGTGGCAGGAGCTGCTGCTGCCTCAGGCGCTTGCGCTGGGGGCGGCTGTGCTGATGGTGCTGGGTGCGGGTGTGGCGATCGGGGGAGGCGAGGAAGGGGCAGACGCACCAGCGTCTGTGCTGTCGCTGCAAGACGGCCGCTGGCTCCTCGTGCAGGTGCGTGCTCCCTCTCACTCTCTTTCACTCTCTCACTCGCTCAAAGGGTCTGCGTAGTGCATTCGAAGGGTGGTACACCACACGGATGCTGGAGAGGTGAAAGACGATAGCAAAAGAGCACGCACAGCGGCGCAGGGTCACGGAGCAGCAAGGGGAAGCACAAAACCCGAGCTATCGAGGAGGCAGTTAGCCTTCTGAATCTTTTTAGCCCAGCTCGCCAGCACGCACGCACACTCTCCGGCTGCTGTGCCCACACCAAACAGTACCACTCATCGACACCCCACTCCCCGTCCCTCCTCCCCTCTTCCGCCCATCCGCTCGTGTGCCCCCCCGCAGCTGCTGAGCGCCAGGGCGGCGCCGCTCTTCTTCGCGCTGGTGCTGCTGGCAGCGGTGCACCTCATCTCGCCCTCCACCACCCTCGCCGCGCAGCTCGCCCTCTTCTCCTTCGCCCCCCCTTCCCCCCTCACCTCCTCCGGTCCCCCCTCCTCCCTCCCCGCGCAACACCCCTCCCCCTACCTCGCGTTCGCCGTCACCCGCCTCTCCTCCCTCCTCCTCACGCTCCTCCCAGCCCTCCTCCTGGGCGACTCCTCCGCGCTCCACTTGATCCAATCGGTGCCTCTCGCCCTCGCCCCCCTCCTCCCATTGGCCGCCGCGCCTCTCCTCCGCCTGGCGGCGTCCCCCCACATCATGGGCCCCTGCCGCCTTCCCCCCGCGCTGCACCTGCTCGCCTGCCTCGCCTGCTGCGCCCTCTCCGCGCTCTCCCTCGCGCCCCTGGCCGCCGCGCTCCCCGCGCTGCTGCGGGGCTACGAGGGGGAGATGGAGGGCATGGGCCTGTGGGAGTGGCTGGCGGCGGGGGAGTGGGCGGGGGAGGCGGGGGAGGAAGGGGGAGGGGGGCTGGCGGTGGGTCTGGGGCCAGGCGCGGTGTGGCACGGACTGGGGCAGGTGGGGGCGGTGGTGGGGGGCAGTGCGGGGGTGGCAGCGGCGGTTGGCGCGCTGCTGTGGGTGATGAGGGCGCCCCTGAGGTCGGAGGGAGGGGGGGAGTGGGAGGGGGAGGGGGATGTGAGTAGTGCTTTGGATGAGGGCATGGGCGAGAATGCGGTGATGGGCGAGGGGATAGATGAAGACGCGGGCATGGGCATGGCGGGCGGGATGTATGGCGAAGAGGAGATGGTCGGGGAGGATGTCATGTGGCAGCAGCAGTGGGTGGAGGACGACGGGGAGGGGGAGGTGGGGTGGGGGGAGCAGGTCGTGTGTGAGGAGGAGGAGGGATGGGAGGGTGTGCAGCAGTTGGGGCAAGAGTGGCTAGCAGGGGCAATCGAGCAAGAAGGAGCAGGAGAGGGGAAGCCAGGCGGCATGGGGCCTGGGGGTGGGGACAGGGAGACTGTGAGTGAGGGCAAGGGTGCGGGTGCAGCAAGCAAGGCAGGGGCGGAAGTAACTGCAGATGTGGAAGGGACAACGGCTCGGACAGACATGGCTGGCGATGGTAGTGTGGGCGCAAGGCAAGAGGCACTTTCAGCAGTGAGTGCGGAGCAGAAGGGAGGAGCGCAGGAGGCAGAGCGTAAGGAGGAGGGGGACCCAGCGATGGGCGGAGATGAGAGCACGGAAGACGAGCACCCTGGCGCTGCTGTTGTTGTTGCTGCTGCTGCTGCTGCAGCTGACGCTGGCGCTGCTGCTGCTGCTGCTGCCGCCGCTGGCGTTGCTGCAATAGCTGTCAAGGCAGGTGTGGTTGAGGCTGCGAGCGTGGGCGAGGAGGAAGGCGCAGCCGTGGGTGGAGAGGGCAGGGTGGGGGAGGAGTGTCTGCTGGCGAGCGAAACGGAATCCGCGTCCACACAAGGCCCGGACGCCGCGACAGGTGGTGTAGAGCAGGGGGACGCTGCAGAAAGTATTGAGCAGGCGGCGCAGGGAGGAGCGGCAGAGGGCAAGGAGGGGATGGAGGGCGAGGAAGAGGGCGTGGGGGGGGCGGGGCGGGGCGGGGTGGAGGAGGAGGAGGTGGAGAAGCAGATGGTTGAGGTGCGGCGCAGGGGGGCAGCGCGTGCATGCCAGGGGGGGGCGGTGGGGGAGGAGGGGAGCAGGGGTCCGGGTGCAGAGGAGCAGCCGGGGGAGATGGCAGCAGTTGGGGCGCTGCCGGACGACCCTTTTGATTCCTTCACCTGCCCCACCAAGCCCTCTTGCAAGCAGCCAGCAGAGCAGCCCCTGGGCCCTACCACTGTGCCCGGCACCTCACTCGGTGGCGTTGTGTCGCCCAGCAAGAGTGGCAAGGGCATGTGTGGGGAGTGTGCGGGGCTGGCAGCGCCCTCCTTCCTGCCCGGGCTTGCGCCCTGCACCGCTGCTGCCACCGCCCATGCCAGCAGCAGCAGCGGCATCGGTGGCAGCGGCAGCATGAGCTGCGGCAGCAGCAGCTGTGGCATGAGCGGCGGCATGAGTGGCGGGGGCAGGAGCGGCAGCGGCAGTCTGTCGCGCGTGTGTGGGCTGGGGCGAGGGGCGCGGCGGCAGGTGGCCGCCATCCTGGACGAGTTCTGGGGGGCGCTCTTCGACCTGCATGGGGGGGCCGTCAAGGAGGAGGGGATGCAGGGTGCGGTGGGAGCAGGGCACGGCAGCAGCGGGAGGGGAGGAGCAGGTGCAGCACTGGGGGGCAAGGGCTTGGCGTCTGACTGCCATGCCTCCAATCATGTGGCCCTCCCTGCTTTTCATGGCTCACATCTGTTGTCAGCTAGTGCCAAGCCCTTCTCGCCCTCCTTCTCAACGTCCTTCTCTCCGTCCTCCTCCTTGCTGACTAGCAGCGCCAGCAGCGCCAACAGCACTAGCAGCATGGGTGGGGGCATGGCAGCGTTGCTGTCACCGTCACTGCCATCAGCGTCCGCAGCACCCCGCGAGTACAGCACGCTGTCGCACCTCCCCACTCTGCACGAGCTCTCTCTGCTGCATCCCTCCTACCTCCTCCCCTCCCGCCGCTGCATTTCCCCTGACCCCCCCTTCTCCCAGCTGCCACCCACCACCATGGGCATGGGCCAGGGGGCACTCAGCACAGGCATGGGGGCGAACTTGGAAGGGCGTATAGGAGGCGGCATGGGAGGGGGGATGGCAGGGGGGACGGGAGGGGGCATGGGAGGGGGCACAGGAGGAGGCATGGGAGGAGGCATGGGAGGAGGCATGGGAGGAGGCATGGGAGGAGGCATGGGAGGAGGCATGGGAGGAGGCATGGGAGGGGGCATGGGAGGCGCGCTGCATGGGGTGTTGGGTGCGGGTCAAGTGCGGCAGGTGGAGGGGCCCAGCCGCTCCACGCCCAACCTGCGGGCCGACCTCTTGGGCGGCATCACAGGGCAGCTGGCACTGCTACAGGAGCAGGGCAGACTCGGGCCCGCCCACGGGCTGCTTGCCCCTGGGCGCTTGGATGCCTTTCAGCAGCAGCAGGAGCTGGCGTATCAGCAGGCGCGAGGGGTGGGGGCGCTTGGGTTTGCGGTGGTGGAAGATGGCAGTGGTGATGATGAGAGTGACGTGGCATATGCTGCTGCCAGCCTGGCACAGCTCAGCCAGTTGCAGCATGATTACGCTGAATTCAGCAGTGCAGATCGAGGTGGGGTCGGTATTGGCAGTGGTGGTGGTGGTGGGGGTACAGGGGTCGCAATGGGCAGTGTGTGGGAGCAGCAGTTGGGTGAGCTGGTGGGTGCTCGGCCTCAGCACCTCGCACCGGTGCACATGGGGCCAGGTGGTGCTGGCACGGCTGCAGGTGTGGCGAATGGGAGAGTGGGGGCGCTGCAGCGAACAGGCAGCGGGGGCAGCTGGGGGTGTGCTTCGGGTTTACTGACCACTGCAGCAGTAAGCAGTGGGAAGTGGAGCAGCATGCATGCCCTTGGCAGCAAGGGCGGCATGCATGTCTCTCCCATGGCCCCTCAGGACTTGCCTGACCTAGCAGACCAATGGCTGGCAGCTTCTGCTGCGAGCAAAGGGGGGAAGGGCTGTGACCTAGGCTGGCAGCAGGCACAGCAGCAGGAGCAGCAGCAGGGCGGCTGCCACGCGCCCTCTACCCCTGTGCTGGGTGCAGTGGCAGAGGAGGCACGGGTGGAGGCGCTGCGTGTGTGTGTGCAACGGCTGCTGCGGCTGGAGGGATCGGACTGGCTCTTCCGCTACGACACGGGGCCCGACGAGGACCTCATCGCTGCTGTTGCCTTCCGCGACAAGAAGCTCGCCGCTGCCGCCGCGCTCTCTGCTCGCATGGCCGCGCCCTCCCTCGCCCACACGCCCGCTCACCACTCGCACTCGCACAGTGGGGGTGACAGGGATGGGGAGTGGGCGCTGCCTGCAGGCGTGTGGGGGTGTGGCGGTGCATGTGTGTGGGGCGGTGCGCTGGTGGTGTCGTTCGGTGTGTGGTGCGTGCACCGCGTGCTCGAGCTGTCGCAGCTGGAGAGCCGCCCGGAGCTGTGGGGCAAGTACACCTATGTGCTCAACAGGCTGCAGGTCAGTACCCTCTCCTCGCATGCTTATTTTTCCCCTCTTTCAGTGTACTGCTTTCAGCCACACAACCAGCCTCTACCTTCTTCACCTCACCTTTCCCCTTTTGTGTTGTTCCAGGGCATTCTGGACCCTGCTTTTTCCCATCCGCGCCCAGTGCCGGTGCTGTGTGCCTGTTTTGGAGAGGCAGCGGGGGAGCCAGCCCTGGCGGTGCAGGGGCTCTTCCAGGGCATGCTGGGCGCGCCCCTCTGGGGCATGCACGTCCCCCTCGCCTCCCCCAACTGGCCCTTCCCCGGCCCACCAGGGCACCGCGGGCCGGCAAGCGCTGCTCTCTTCTTGGAGCGCATTCGCGAGGTGGAGGCAGCGGTGGGGGGGCGCAAGGGGCGGACGGGCACAGTGGCGGGGGATGTGGCCTTCCCCAAGGGGAAGGAGAACCTCTCGTCCGTGCTCAAGCGGTACAAGCGCCGTCTGGGTTCTTGCGCCAATACTCCAGCTTAGCTTAGCTAGTTTTTCCACCCATGGCTGCTGGACAGTACAGGGCTGTGAGTGAAATGAGTCTGATCCAGCCCAGAATATCAGCCCATCATGGGCTTTTTGCCCAACTTGCTGGGCTCATTTGCGACACCATGGGTAGGCAGCATTCTGGCTTGTTTTTTTATCCTGTTTGTAAGTTTTTTTACAGGAAGCGAACTGTTCTTACTTGTACCCATTTCACCACGTCGCATTGTGCCATATCACTGTTCTTCTATTACTAGCTTCATATCTCCACCAAACTTTTCGAGCATACGCTATATCATGACGCCAACCGACATGTCGAAAGCGGGTATGGACAGCACGAGTCTCGTGTGGCGGGCAAACGCACTCGCCTGCGCCCCAATCCACATGCCAAGCTGATGTTATCCCAGCTGCGAATCAAGTTGGCTCGCCTCATCTGCTTGGCTGCGATCGACGTGCGACGAAACCGCTTTCGCCAACCAGCGACAACCTCTCCGTCGCCTCGCCACGTGCACAACCTTTTCCTGAAGCCCATCAATCCCGGCTCGCAAAACATGATCGCACGCGGATCGAAGTTCGGTTTCTGGCCAATGACGATCGACTCGGTCGTCCATCCCATGACCCGTCGCACGGGAAGCCTCCAAGGTCGCACTGAGGTTGTTGCAGGAGCAACTGCCATTTTGAACCTTACGATGAAATCCATGGCGGGGCACACCCAACCCAGCTTCTGATCAGAGAAATTGTCGCTAGCCGTTGTGACGCTGAGCTGACAGGAACCGCCGCAGGCAGCAAGGCTGATGCGCACGCCGCGTGGTAGTCCTTCCTAACTATTGAAGCTAGTCGTTGCGTCCTGATCCTAGCCATGGCAGATCGACCATGCCCATCAGGCGTGATGCTTCCCACCAGACCACGCATTCGTCCCTTCGCTTCAGCGCTCCATGCCCTCGCTTCAAGCTAGGCTCGCCGCTCGCAAATGGACGGCGCGGATCTGTCCAAGTGTGTGTGCGAGGCGGGCGCGGTGCCGTGGATCCGCGACTGGTTTCAGGACTGCGTGTACTCGCGCTGGGACCTGCTCTCGTTCCTCATCGGCCTCGCCTCCATCGCCTGCTGGCTCGTCGCGCAGCTCCCGCAGTTCATTCAAAACATCCGCGCCGGCTCCGCCGACGCCCTCTCGCCCTGGTTCCTCTTCCAGTGGCTCTCGGTACGCGGCCCCGCTCCCGCTCCACGCGCGTTTCCGCTTCCGCTTCCGCTTCCGCTTCGTGCCCATTTTCTCCGCCAATGGGCTTCACAGGGAACGCAGGGAGCTAGATAGCTACAGGCTTCCTCATGGATCCTCATATGTGTGTCCGCTGAGATGTCGTGCTCCCGTGGCCTGTGCGCCTCCCGTGCTGTGCTGTGCTGTGCTGTGCTGTGCCTCCCCTGCCCTGCCCCGCGTGCGCGTGCGCGGCGTGCAGGGCGACCTGCTGAACCTGCTGGGGTGCCTGCTGTCGGGCAGCCAGCTCATCACGCAGACCTTCACCGCCATCTACTTCATCGCCGCCGACTGCTGCATCATCGCGCAGGTACCGCCCCCCTCCCGCGCGCATCATCGCTCAGGTATCGCCCCGCCTGCGCTCACCACAGCGCAGGCATCGCCCGCGCTCATACCGCATTACCACATGACTTTCGAGGTCCGCTTCATGTCCTTCTGCTCAGCTGCCGCTATGGACCCTTTGCCTCACGTCGCGCATTTCCCCCTTTCCCTCCTCCCCCCCCTTCCTCTTCCCCCCTCCTCCCCCCCCCCCAGTACGTGTACTACCAGCTGAAGAACCGCGACTCGCTGGAGCTGGACGCCGACTGCCTGTCGCGCCCAGCATCCGCGCAAGACGGCTTCATCACCGCCGCCGCCTTCTCCTCGCCTTCCGCCGCCCTCCGCCGCCCGCTCTTGCCCGCCAAGGCCGCCGCTGCAGCAGACCACAGTGTTCTGGTCAGTAACGGGTCAGCCAGTAGAGCGCAGTCAGTAGTGTCGCCGCCCAGGCGCAAGCCACGGCATGCTGTGGAGGAGATTCGCGCTTTAGAAAACGAGCTGCCTTATAGAGAGCTAGAGGCTGGTGGGGCAGCGGCAGCGACAACCGAGCACGAGAGTCACATACACAGACAGCAGCAGCAGCACCGGCACGAGCACCACAACTACCACCCCGTGTCGTTCTTAGCTGGCCGCTCAGGCGCCGTCCTCCTCGCCCACGCGTGGCAGGGGCCCCACCTCCCCTCCGCCCCCCGCCGCCCCTCCCTCCCACCTCCCACAGCAACCCAGGCAGCAGGCGCAGGCGCAGGCGCAGAGGCAGCAGAAGCAGACGTGGTGGGAGAAGCAGCATGGCGGCGACTCAATGGTGGTGGTGGGTGCAGAGAGGGGGGCGCAACAAAGGGAGGGGACGGACGGGGCAGGCTGTTGCGGATAGCGGAGGAGGAGGACGGACGGCCGGGGCTGTTTCCAGTGGCGTCAGACAATGCAGGCGCGGCGGCGGGCAGGACACAGGTGGCGGGCGCACGCAGCAGGAGACGGGCTACAGGTGACGAGGCAGGGGGTGGAGAGGGGCGGAGGGGCGAGGGGCCGACGGGGCGAGTGCAGTTCCGCGAGGAGGAGAGGGGCGCGGGCGGGGAGGGCGAGGGGCGCAGGGGCCGCGTGTACAGCAGACGGGAGGTGCGGCGGGTGGTGGAGCGGTACGGGCTGGAGCACGGCCCTCCCATGCTGCACCCGCGCCTCACCATCCACCACCACGCCCTCGCGCCCTTGCCCCTCCCTGTGGCCCCTCGAGGGGAAGAGCACGGCCAAGCTGCTGGTGGGCCAGGCGGGGTGGATAAAGTGCAGAGAGGAGGTCAGGCAGCAGGTGCAGACAGCAAGGACGACGGGCGGGGAAGTGACATCGTTGTGGGGCAGCGAGGCAAGGCTGACATGCGGCAGAGGGGTCAGATTGGCACGGGGCAGGAGCTGGCAGTCGCTGAAGCAGCAGATGGAGCAGCTGCTGTGTGTGCTGCCACTGCGGGGGAGCCGTCCGAAGGAGGCAGCGCAAGTGCTGGAGAGGCAGCACCATCCAGGCCGCACAAGCCAGGGGCGCTGTCGCTGCTGCTGGGCTCGCTCATGCTGCTCGCGCTCTCCTCCTCGGCTCTCTCGCCCTTACAGCGAGGCCGCTCCAGTGTGCTTGGGCCGCGCAGAGGGGGCAGGTGCAGCAGGGATCCATGGCCCACAGGCGAGGCAGAGGCAGTGGCCGGGAGAAAGCTGCTGGGAGTGCAGCAGGGGGAGCAGGCAGGGCTGTGGCATCACCTGCGGGGAGGGGGGCATGCGGGGCAGCAGCAGGTGGTGGTGCAGGAGGAGAGAGTGTGGCATGGCAACCGCACCCTGTGCCTGCTGCAGCCTCGCCACCCAAACTGCCAGCCCACTGCTGCTGCTGCTGCTACTGCTGCACACGTGGCTGCCGCCAGTGCAGTGAGTGGGGCTGGCAGTGTTGAAGGCAGGGAGCCGCAGGTGCTGCTGCAGCTGCTACCCCCCGCGGTGCCAGGCGCTGGCAGGGGGAGCGAGGGTGAGGGGGATGAGGAAGATGCGTGGATCGCAGCATGCAGGGCGGAGAGGAGGAGGCGCAGGAAGGAACCCAGCAAGTTCATCCATCAGCTGGGCCTCATGCTTGGGTGCGTTCCTTGTTCCCACATGCTTGGCACATGCTTGGCACATGCTTGGCACATGCTTGGCACATGCTTGTCACATGCTTGTCACAGTGTCACATGCTTGACACATGCTTGGCACATGCTTGGCACATGCTTGGCACATGTTAGCACATGCTTGTCACATGCTTGGCACATGCTTGGCTTGTCACATGCTTGACACATGCTTGTCACATGCTTGGGACATGCTTGTCACATGCTTGTGTCACATGCTTGTCACATCCTTGGCACATGCTTGGCACATGCCTTCCCACATGTTGGCACATGCCTTCCCACATGCTTGGCACATTCCTTCCCACATGCTTGGCACATTCCTTTCCACATGCTTGGCACATGCTTGGCACATGCTTGGCTCATGTTTGTCACATGTTGGCACATGCTTGTCACATGCTTGGCACATGCTTGGCACATGCTTGGCACATGCTTGGCACATGCTTGGCACATGTTAGCACATGCTTGTCACATGCTTGGCACATGCTTGGCACATGCTTGTCACATGCTTGGCACATGCTTGACACATGCTTGGCACATGTTAGCACATGCTTGTCACATGCTTGGCACATGCTTGGCACATGCTTGTCACATGCTTGGCACATGCTTGTCACATGCTTGGCACATGCTTGTCACATGCTTGTGTCACATGCTTGTCACATGCTTGTCACATGCTTGGCACATGCTTGGCACATGCCTTCCCACATGCTTGGCACATGCCTTCCCACATGCTTGGCACATTCCTTTCCCCATGCTTGGCACATTCCTTACCCCATGCTTGGCACATTCCTTCCCCCATGCTTGGCACATTCCTTCCCACATGCTTGGCACATTCCTTTCCCCATGCTTGGCACATTCCTTACCCCATGCTTGGCACATTCCTTCCCCCATGCTTGGCACATTCCTTCCCACATGCTTGGCACATTCCTTCCCACATGCGTGGCACATTCCTTCCCCCATGCTTGGCACATTCCTTTCCCCATGCTTGGCACATTCCTTCCCCCATGCTTGGCACATTCCTTCCCCCGTGCTTGGTGTGTTACGTCGCCCGCAATATCTCGGCCACTGCCCCTGTGCATGGCATCGCTCTCTCACCTCCATACGCCACATCGACTTCCATTTTCCACTTCTGCCCTCCAGTGTGCCTCACTAGCTCGCCAAAATCGCCCTGCGCCCCTGTGCTCTGCACGCCCTCCCCCCACCAGGTGGGCGTCGGCGGGGTTCTACCTGGGGTCGCGCGTGTCGCAGATCTGGCAGAACACGCAGCGCGGGTCGGTGGAGGGGCTGTCCATGGCCATGTTCCTCTGCGCCTTCTGCGGCAACCTCGCCTACGGCACCGCCATTCTGCTGCGCGCCCCTTCGCTGTACGCCATTCTGCTGCCTCTTTAGCTTATGTGTTTTGAGGAGGGGCCTCAAGCTTAAATGTGCTAAGGGTGTTGCACTCGTGTGTGGTGCTGTGGGCATGGCAGGGCGTCCTTGAGCGGCAACCTGCCATGGCTGGTGGGCAGCATGGGGACTCTCTCGCTTGACATCACAATCTATTTGCAGGTGGGTCACACTCTATGTGCAGGTGACGCGTCACACAATCTTTTTGCAGGTGACACGTCACACTCTATGTGCAGGTGACTCGTCGTCACACTCTGTGCAGGTGACACGTCACACTCTATGTGCAGGTGACCCGTCACACTCTATGTGTAGGTGACACGTCTATGTGCCGGTAAGTTGTCACGTGTCACTGTGCTTTCGAGCGACAAGACTCTCTCTCAATGAGCAAGCGAGACACAGCCTATGCCGCTGGTGGAATCGCCTTAATGCTGCCATCCCATCTCACTCTGCTCGTTCCATCTTCCCCCCCTCCCTTGCTGCTGCTCGTGCGCGCCTCCCCTGCCATGCCCCCCTCCCAGGCACAGTATCTGAGTCGCAAGAGCCCAGCAGCACACGCATCTGCTGTTCGCCCCATCACCATCTTATGACTAGTGCGCCCCCTGCTGCTGTGCTGCTCAGCGTGCCGTACCTCCCTGCTACGCCTCACGAGCACGCATGCAGTCAGGCCCATCCCCCCCCATCCAAAAGCACTGTAAATGATTCCCGCTGTATCGTTTGCTGTGTCGCACTCTGATATCACTTGCTCCTGTGAGCTCATTCATGTGCTTCATGCATACTTGTTTGCTGCAATTGCTATCAGCCAAGGGGAAAAGTCTCAGAGAAGAAAAGTTAACTAGAATGAGGCATACAGGTTGATTTTGTTCAAGTGGTTGTACCCTCTAAGAGCATGCACCCATCTAACCTGTTATAATATATACAAATATGTTTTGACACACCCCCTAGCCCAGATGAGGGGCAGTGCCTGGAAATTGACACACAGCTCAGGGTGGTACTACAAGTCCAGCCTCTGAGGCAAGGGTCCGAAGACCAGTCAGGAAGAGTACCGTAATCCCCCGTATATAACACCCGCCGAAATAGTCACTCCGCGTGTGGTTTATGCGGGGGAGAGCTTATGATAGGGTGAATTTAGGAGAGCACCCGCTTTTCGGGGGCTGCATTTTACATAACACCCTCCTCGTTTTATGCAGCAAAGAACAGTATTTCGTAGTTTTTCAACCTCAGCTCGATTGAGAAAAAAATCGAACAGGATGAAAAACGCAATGTCAACTACCATTAGCAGCGAAAAACGGGCAGAAACATCAACACAAGTTGCAGCGCGAAATCGAAACGTCAGCAAAGGTCGAGACGGGAGGATTTCGACCGTTGAATTCGCGGATTCTGTTGTGATTTGACGGTCAGAATCCTCCCGAGTGAAATCCACCCGTCGAAGTCGCGGATTCTGTCGCGATCATGACGGTCGCAGGTGCCGCACAAACCTGGCCCTGACTACAGCACTCAGCAGGGATTGGCCAACGACGATTGGTTTGTGAGTTTCGTCGTAGCGGATGCGGTACCTCGCTAACAGTCGCTCCGCGCATTTTTGAACACACATGGCCTAAAACACTCAAATTCAAATTGCATTTTACATAATACATGGGCACTATATTTTTCCGGGCCACTGTTAACACCCAGTCATTTTTTTAGTGAATTTTTATATACACCATAGGGTGTTATATACGGGGGATTACGGTACAAGCTAAACAACAGCAACCCAGGGCGGTACTACTAGTTTAGCCACTCGGACCGGAGCCACAAGGCCAGTCAAGAGAATATAAAAGGAGTACACAATCAGGGTCCTAGCAAGTGAGAAGCTACAGGAACTAGACCAAGCTGTACACGGTGTCGCTGATGATCTTTAAGCGCAAGCGCTTTAGTAACGATATCAGCTGTGTTGGCACCGGCGGCCAACTGTACTACGCGGGCTTGGCTGCGCTGCAGCAGCTCGCGTAGGAGGAAGTACCACAGCTGGATGTGCTTCGCTCTGCCCTCTAGTTGAGGCTCCTGACACAGGAGGATCGTGGCTCTGTTATCAGCATACAGGACTGGGGCAGAGCTAGGCCGCTCACCTAAGTCCGTGAGCAAGAAAGTCAGCCAGTGGAGCTCCTGTGCCGCCATGGCAACAGCGTGGATCTCAGCCTCGCAGCTGGACTGCGCAACAGACGACGAGCGGGTGGACCTCCACGATACCGCGCCTACACCAAGGCTAAAGCAATAGCCCTGAGAGGACCTAAGGGTCTCAGCGTCGTCTGCCCACGAAGCGTCAGTGTGCCCAGTAAGGACTACTGGCCTGCGTCCTCCCACTGCTACCCATGCCCGATGTACTTGCTAAAACCCTCTTAGCGGCCGACCAGTGCTGTGTCGGTGTTTGCCTGTGGCCACAAAGCGAGCCAGGATGCTGAGAGGGTATGCGAGATCTGGACGAGTGCAAGTCATCAGGTACATGAGGCAACCCACCAGCTCTGTGTAAGGACCACTACGCTCTACTGACTCCTCAGGAATAGGATTTGAGAGCTTGTGGTCTACTGGCAGAGGTGTAGGCTGGGCGGAGGAGAACTGAAGACCGAACCTCTGAAGGACGGCGCACCAAGTGTGACTGTGTGAGGGTGATGGTGCGCGCTGCTCTGTCCCTCGAGATCTGTAGGCTAAGGTAGCGGCGCAGCTCTCCTAGGCAAGTGCAGGTGTGTCTCCTCAAAAGCTCGGCCTTCACAGAGGCCAGTGCGTCTCTGCCTGCAGTAGCAAAGACCAGGTCGTCTACGTAGACAAGGACGTAGAACAGAGTCTGGCCAGCACGAACGAAGATCGAGGGGTCTGCAGAGGACGGAAAGAATTGCAAGTGAGCTAGCGTAGCACGCAACGTTTCGTGCCACTCACAGGGCGCCTGTCGCAGGCCGTAGACCGGGTGTCCGAGGAGCCACTCGGTCCCAGGAGGAAAGGAACCAGTGAAGCTCCGTGGACGGCGCAGGTAGACCTGCTCGTGTAGGCTGCCCTGAAGGAAGGCAGTGGAGAAGTCGAGGGAGTGGAGCTCGTAGTCACGCAGTGCTGCTACGTGTAGCAGCGCCCGAAGAGTAATCTTCATGGTCGGGGCGAAGGTCTCTAAAAACGTCTACCCCCTCGCGCTGACTGAAGCCTCTAGGAGGGCGCTTCACCTTGAAGAGCCACCGGCCATAGACTATGTTCACCCCATGTGGGGGAACTGCGTCGGCGTAGGTGCCAGTGGATCTCCAAGATGCCATCTCCTGCTCCATGGCAGCTATCCACTGAGAGGCCCGGGATCCCGAGGTGGCCTTAGCGGAAGTGCGAGGGGTCGGGATGTCAAGGGCGTCTGGCTCACCCTCAGGGACTAGCAGCATGGAACTGAGATGGGGAGCAGCCTCAGACAGGAAAGCAAGCTCGTACTGCCTGTCCTCTAGGACGTCACTGCCAAGGGCAGGAGCACCCCCGACGGACGGAGGGCAGACAGGGTCGGAGACTAGAGCGGTGGCGTAGTCAAGGCAACGGGTAGAGGCAAAGTCAGCGACAGCAGCGACAAGAGCATCAAGACTCGAGACAGGAACAGACGGGTCGGTAACGAGGGAGGCAAGGACCCTAGGAACAAGAGGACGAGCGGCACGAAGATAGTCAGACAGAGGGGGAGGCGCGACAATGAGCGACGACGGAGGAGGCGAAGGCAAGAGAGGAAGACGAGATGCGTGAGAACGAAGCAACATGGGGTGAGAGCGCTGAACAGGAGAGACAGGACGAGCACGAGAGGGACGGCGCGGCCAGACGTGGGACGGAGGCGTCTGGTCAGGGGACAAAGGAGGAGACACAAGAGGGAAACGAGGTGGGAAACGGGTCGGGGACGAGTCCAGTGGAGGAAACACAGGATCGTGGATAGGAAGGGGAGGAGGCAGCAGGGGAGGCGCAGGTGAGCGGTCAGGGGAGGGAAGGCCGAGCAGACGAAGGGCGGACACCGGTGGCGACTGCTGCGGCTGCTGCTCGACTCTGACACATGGACCGCCAGCTGCACCACGGCTACCACCGAAACACTCCACTCCAGCACCCCCAGAACGAGCACCCCAGAGCGAGAAATCTCTCGAGAACCGGTGCCACCCCCAGGCCCGCCAGGACAAGCCATGATAGGAACCTGAGGACGAGCACCCTCCTCAACGCCAACGCCCTTAGAGTCCACGGACGGCTGCTGCTGTTGCGGCGGTGACGGCGGCTACTGCAGCGGCGGCAGCTGCTGCTGCTGAAGCTGCGACGACGGCTGCGGCGGCGACTGAGACGACAGAGGGGGGGGAAACGGGGGAGAGGCAGGCAGCGAGAACTGCGCCGCGGGGCCACTAGAGTCAGCCAACTTTTCGACGGGGACAACCGACGGGAGGGGAGTGACGTGAGACACACCAGACGGAGCAGGACGGGGAGGGAGGGGAGCAGGGGCTACCGTGGGAGTGGGAACAAGAAACAGGGGTGAGGAAACCGGGGGACCTCGGTGGGGAAAGCGCCGGTAAAAGGCGACAGACTCGTCGAAAGTGACGTCACGCGAGTGAAGGAAGCGGTGAGATGGCGGGTGGTAAACGTGCAAGTCAGATGAGTCAAGGGGGAAACCAAGGAAGACACAGGGGACAGTGCGAGCAGTGAGCTTGTCCGTGCCAGAGGCACGAATGTGAGCGAGGCATCCCCAGACGTGGAACCAACAGCGTCACCAGGAGACAACACCGTGGTGTAGCGCGTGTAGTCGTCGACATGCACCAGGAAGTAGCTCTCGACGCAGCCCAGGGACGGGGGCTGGACCCTAGACGTCCAGGTGCAGGGTCTGGAGTGGCGCGGTGACAGGGCGAAGCGAGGAGGAGTGAGGTGCACGGCGCAGCCGGCCCTCGACACAGGGCGTGCACATCGGCGCAGTCGAGGGAGGTAGGGAAGGGAGCGAAGTCGGGAGACCTAGGACAAGACCATGCTAGGACATGTGACGCAGACACGGGAGCGCAGGGTGACCTAGGCGGTGGTTCCATAGCAGCGACGGGTGAGTTAGCGACCGACACGAGCAAGCCGCGGCTACCTGGGGGACGCCCTCACCGGGGGGGACACAGTGTCAAGCGTAAACAGGTCGGACACAGGGTCCCGGGGGAACGTGATCAGAGGAGCACAAGTGGCGTTCTTGGTGCAGACCGCGTACAACTCGTGTCCGGGGAACGTAGTGATGACGCCGATGTCCTGAAGACAGCCGACACCAACTAGGTTCCTAGAGAACGAGGGGATGTGCAGGCCTGTAAGAGTGCCCGAGGGGACCGCCGGACCGGGAAGGGTGGTGGAGCTACGTGCAACTACCGGACCTGAATAGGGGTCTGCAAGTGCGACGGTGGCAGGGGCAGTAAGCGGCATAAGGGAAGTGTGGTCGCGGAAGAAGCAGGTAGGCGCACAAGAGTCAAGCGGGAAGGAGAGCGAAGCGCTAGCAGCAGTCGGTGGCGGGGCTCGTGTGGAGCCTAGGCTAAACAAGGCAAACGGTCCTATGCCTGGCGCAGCAGAGGAGCCTAGACTACACACAGTGGACACACCTACGCTAGGCAACACCGAGTAATAATGTCCAATCATACTAGAGTCATCAGCATACATGACAGACATAGCATTCCTAATCTAATCCATGTCAAGCTCAAAGACCGGCACACGACGGCGAGCCAGGGCGTACGAGTCCGAAGGGTCCGACGCAGGTGCGAAGCAGTGGCGGAACAGGTCGTCCAGGTGGCGGTAGCAGCGGTTGGTGGTGTGGCCGGGCCGGAGGCAAACAGTGCCGCGGCGAGGGCCGGTCTGAAGCTGGTACTGGCAGGTGACCGCGCCGGATCTGCTACCCGACACTAAGCTGCGCCCGCCCCCCCCACGACCACTGCCGCTAGCGCCGCCAGTCCACCACGACGACTGCTGCGGCGGCTGCGGCTGCTGAGGTTGCGTCTTCTGCTGTGGCTGCTCCGGGGCACCAGCCCCGGTCCCCTCATCTTAACCACAGTCTCCGCCCTCACCGCCGCCACCCTCCCCACCACCACCCCCCTTCCCCCCACCACGCCCTCCTTTGGGGCGGCGACCCTTACACGGACGCTTTTGCGCTGAGGCTGCAGCAGCGGTCTCAGCAACAGCAGCAGAAACGTCAAAGTAAGTGCACTAGGAGGGAGCACAACCCTGAAAGATAGGTACCGC